GATGGAGGCAGGACTCCTGTCAAACAGTAACACAGGTGTGACAAAGCAACGATCAGGGAGGAAACTTCCTGTGAAACTGAAAGGAAGTTCTGCACTGAGCCTGAGCAATTACAGATAATTGTTTTTTACCAACACTTTGATACACATCTTATTTTGCAAATGCAAACAATTCAAACTGTGTCCAGGTACAAATACATAAAGCAATACAGTAATATAGTACTTTATAGCTCTAAAGCAGTGTCCAATCCTGGTCCTCGAGGGCCACTATCCTGCATGTTTGCCTTGTCCTTCAGCTCCAACACACCTGATTGAAATGAATGGGTGATTACCAGGCTTCTGTAGAACTTAGGAGGTGAATCAATCACTGAATCAGGTGTGTTGGAGCAGAGGAACCAGTAAAACATGCAGGACAGCGGCCCTCAATGAACAAACTTGCCCACCCTCCCTCTAGAGTTACGAAAACTTGCAAATCTTAAGCACCCACAATGGCATTGCATATATTTTGAGAAAATTTGATTTGCATTTTTTTTAGATGTTCAAAATTCATGCAACAAGTCTGCAACTCATGTAAGGAGGCTGAGCGCCCCTGCGAAAGTTTCCAGACACCCTTGCATACGCCGTTCTCGATTTGCTGCAGCAAAGTGGGATCCTGAGTTTGATACTTTTGATTGCTCCAATGAGTCACAATGCAGGAAGCCTCCGTTAGAGACCGGGGCTACGTAGACGGTGCTGTGAATCCACATTAGTGCCAGAATGGAAGGATTGTCAATAACGGTCTCATTATGTCACCATGACTGCAGCTATCATCAGAACTCAAGCAAGCACCAATCAGTCAACTTCCGCTAACACCCATTATGGCTAATGGACTCCCAGATGAAGCTGGGGGGGAGGGAGGGGGGTACTCCCTGCTCTAATGATAAACAACATTAAAATGAAAACCAAATCAATCCTGTAAAGTTTCCAATAAACAAAGTAGGTAAGCATTCTCCTTTATTATAGCCAAGAACCAGAAACTCCACAAATCACCGAGCTTCTGAAGAGTTTCCACAATCAAGTCCAGCTGCTCCTGCAGATCATTTGGTACAAATTAATGACATCAATTGAGAAAACAATCTATTCCCAAGTGATAGATTCACAACACAAACGGCTGTTTACCACTTTGCTTTTTAGCAATTCTCACAAGGCATTGCCTATAAAAAAGTAGGTTTCTGAGTATTTTGTTTGTAAATCTTTCACATTACCAACTGTTGCCCAAATAACTGAAATCATTTTAGTTGTTTGAAAAATTCCTGTAAGGTTAATAGTAAGTCAACAAACTGCAGCCTTCACAGGCAAGAGCTGATTAGCAGTATTCAAGGTTTTCCCTTCAATATTTTAGTTGTTAAATTTTAAATTCCAATTTTGGGTTACAGCAAATACAAGTACACAAACTTGGCAGGGGTTGGACTTCGAGAGGAGAATCACATTCCTTGGTCTGAATAACAACATACAGGTTTACAGTTATGAGAAAAAGCAAGCTCAACTTGTGTAAAATTTTATCTTGTACACATTAGGACATAAAATAATTTGTCTTGTTGAAGTTTTTACTTTGTTTATTTGTATATTTAAAATGTTCCAGGTTTTCAGTAACTTTATGTTCTGATCTGTCTGTTTCTGTTTCTGCTCATGTTCCTCTGTCCGGCCACGCCCACCTGCACACATTCTGTTTGTCTCTGCACAGGTGTTGGTTGTTTTGGGCTCATTAGTTTGTCTGTTCTCTGTTAGTTTGTCTGCTCCTCAGTTCGTCATTGTAAATCACTGGTGTCAGCTTTGGTTCTGTGTTCAAGTTAATGACCACGGTTCTGTTTATATTCACTTCACTTCACTTTGCTTTTGGAACATCTGAATCCAGGACCACCTGTCTGCACTTTGGGTCTCAAACTACCTTTAACCACAGCAAGTCTTTGCAAAATTTTAGAAATATTCTAATTTGACCTTCATGTGAGCAAAACAACAACAAATTCCAGCACACCATCGCTGATTAGGCAAAAATGAAGTCACAATGTAAAAAGCTGTGTGAAAATTTGGGTCCACCCTTGATGCTTCCACAGGATTCAGGAGGTTCAGTAACAGCCAGGTGACCATCATCAGTTTGACCACGTCTATCAAAGCAGGCGTTTTTATCAGCTTGCCAGGAGGAACAAAATCAGCAGTGCTCTCAGAAGCAACTACTGCTGCCCTGAGAAGGGTTAACCTTAGTGTCCAAATTCAGGAGCTGCATCCTTCAAAGGCTCAATCTGTCATCTGCCTAGGTCACAGCGCCGCGCCAAAGGCTGTCCAAACTCTACAGACACTTCTGATGCGGCTCACAATTTCGTCCTCCCTTTTCCCTAGTTTAAAGGACATGTCTTGTGGCACCTTCTCGGCAGGGACGGACTGGCCATTGGGAGTACCGGGACTCTTCCCAGTGCAGGCAGCGAGGAAAAAACAAAAAATAGTTGCGTAGTTGCGCTCAATATCAGTAGATGGCGATAATGCACCAATTCATTGTTTACCAACCACCAACAAAGACCAAAGAAGAAGAAAAGTTTTCTGAAGAAGAGGAAGAAGTAATAGGAAAATGAATAATAAAAATAAGAAGAGCAAAAATGGAGAATAAACGCAAGGGAGGAGAACAAAAATTGAGAAAAAAGAAAAAGCATCTACAAGCAAATTCAGCCAAGTATCAGAAACTGGCATTTATTTTCTGCTGGTGCATCATCATCCTCATCCTCACTGGATCCTACGTCTGGAGAACAACGTGACCGGGAGGAGGATGATAGTCATGCAGGTGGCTGTATTTTTTTTCTAATGTGCTAACTTTTAAAACAATGTATTTAGTTGTTAAATAAATAAAGTCATTATCATGTGTGGACTAGGTCCAAACTGTGCTCAGTAGCTGATAATTTTATAAAAGTGTGTTGCTTAAAATGTTTTAACATCAGTTTTAGAAATTTACACCATACATTGGCATTCTAAAAGATAAAAATCATAAATGATTGTGGGTTTCACAAATAACTGCCCACTTGGATTCTTATTTTATTTTATTTTGTTTTATTTTTATTTATTCAATTAAGGTCTAATATACAATAACAGTATATTCAAATGAAAAAATTGTTTAAATTCACACAGTTCATGTTGTGCTGGAAAAAGAAAATGATACAACATTAGATTATAAAAATGTTATTTTTGGGGGTACAATTAAAATGAGTCAAAAATGACCATATGGAACTCTGAGGGTCAATGCCTGCGAGCTAACTGCTGCTCTGTTATCTTAATAACTTTACTAATTCCTCTACATTACATCCTTAGATTTTGTACAGTGCCCTGAGATGACGTTTGTTGTTTCTGCATCCATCGTCTGCCAGCCCGGACCTTGAATGGGCCAGTCAGGTACTAAATTCCCGGGCCACTTTTTTGCCCCAGTCCGGCCCTGCTTCTCGGCCAACCCTGTCCCAAAATGCATTGCGGGTTGACTGGATATTTTTTTACCGTGTAATGGCAGACAAAGCGAAAGAAAGGAATTCAGGTTAAATAAAAGATTTGGTGGTATAAAAATGGAAAGTTTAAAGCAGTTGTGTTAATAATGCTTTTGTCATTTATATAGACATGTTTTTAATATTATTTTCAGAAATTAAATGAGTGTGTACAGCTTGTACTTAGTTCTTCAAATATTGCCTTTTAGCTAGTTTTGCTATTTTATAACACTAATATTACTAATACTGATATTTAGCTAATTTCTATCTATTTTGCTACTGTTTAGCGTCGTCACAGTTGCTACGCGACAGGACATACGCCGGGGTAAGTGTGGGAATTAAGGTTGTCCAACTCATTATGACATTTTTATTCTGGTCTTCATGGTTGACCAAGGACCAGGCCCACCTAGAAGATTTCACCAATGCTCACATTGGTGAAATCTTTTCCTGACCAATAAATTGTGTGACTGCGTCACAGTTGGAGCGCACCATGTTCAATGTTTCAATTACTGCATTTTTCGGACTATAAGCCGCGACTTTTTTCCTGAACTTTGAACCATGCGGCTTATACTCCGGTGCGGCTTATACATGGATTTTTTTCTTCAGCCACCAGGGGGCTCTTATGCTCCATTTGCTTCTACCACTCGCTTCAAAAAAAGAAAGGAAAGTAAAGAAGAAAAAAGCGATCGCTTCCAGAGCCGACTGTTGCACCAGGAAGCAGCGATTTAAAGATAGTCAATGGCCAAAAACTCATAAAAGGAGATAAAACAGACATTTTTCATGGTGGAATCTGACTGATAAWAACTTTGGAGCTTAATCCAGGACCAGTTTGTGGATAAACGTCGAGTGAAGAGCCGCTGACCTTTTTTTTCTCATTGCGCTCCCCGGGGAAGGAATCCCATGCAGTGACGTATGCTGGAGCAGGAGGGCTTTCCCAGCAGCTCGGCTCTGGTTTTCTCTGGGGAACTATGAAAGGTCAGTGCGAAAACAAATGCTGAACAATCACGTGAATGCGTCGACCGGTCGACAGCTGAGTGACCATACTGCCAGCTTAGCCAGAGGTGTAGCACCATTTTGTTTTAGCTAGTAGCAGACACGACACGA